TGCAGCAGCTATGGCCAAACACTCTTAAGTTGAGACTCTCTCCAGGTAAGCTCCCTGTCCCTCCCCAAGCCTTGGACTCTACCTGAGATCTCGCCTCTTCTTCGAGACTCTCTCCAGGTAAGCTCTCGGTCCCTCCCCAAGCCTTGGACTCTACCTGAGATATCCCCTCTTCTTTCTATTGTAGCTATGTTGCATCAGCAGCTTCCATACGTATGGGTACCACTCTCTCTCTCACTCTAGCTATGTCAGCCTCTCCCTCTCTATATCTGCCTCCCCTCTCACTCACAGTAACGCATTATTGTAGCCGCGCATTGCGGCACGTCCACTATAGTCATGCACTGTAGCATGTGACTGCCGCTGCACACTGTGGCTCATGCACTGTAGCAGTGTGAGGCAGAATGAATCCACGAGTGGGAACTGAGTTAGTTTGCCTCCTCGGAGGGCTGAGATTTCCCAATCCATTTGCTCACAGCGTGTGCCTGGCCCAGTGGACATTGGAAATTTCTGGAAGCTGCACTGAGCATTTGGATTTGTGTGAGACTGGTGGCCGTGGTTGACTCCTGGGAAATCTTTGACTCTTTGATTTCTGTGCCCGGGTAGGGCCTGACTGTTGACTTTCCTAGAGCCCACTCTTGACTCTGGAGGCATGAGTTGCCTCGTTTTGACCTTTGACACAGTACCTATTCACAAAGGGACATTCTGAAGTCAGGGAAGTGAGTTTTGGACCCTCGAAATTTGGCCTCACCAAAGGTTACAGCCCCTGGCCATGTCTGTACCGATTTCGTACTAGTTCGAGAGACGTATCAGAGTATGTAGGAACAGCTGTTGACCCTCGAACTTTGCTAGCTCAAAGCTGCGACCCTTACACTTTCCACCTCTGATTCTACTTCATTCCTTGAGTGTGTAGGGGTCTGTATTCCAAAGGGCTTTGACTGAGACACGGACGAGACCATATTCTGTAGAATTGAGGGCCATTCCGACGGACTCTGGGACCCTACCCCTATTTCACATGCCTAGCCTTGACTCAGACTTTGGATACATGTTCATGTGCTGAATTTGAACCAGGGTCATTGGATATGAAAGAATAAACAATAAAAGTAGCATTTTTATATTTATAAACAATAAAAGTAACATTTTTATATTTATAAACAATAAAAGTAACATTTGTATATTTATAAATTGACATCACAAAATTTGCAGGAGACAGCGAGGAAGAAACTCCAACTACAAGCGCATTGATCTGTTATGCGTCAGCATCGACTCACTCACAACACAAAAACAAGAATGACAAAGCATTGATCACACAGGAGATATTGGCAAAATTTAACTTTCTTGATAAAGAAAGTCCCAGACTTACTGCAAATCAATCAAAACAACAACAACAACAAATACTATTCTTCAATGTCAACCTCTCCCGGGTCAGACCAACCAATTTCCTCACATACTACATCTGCGAGTCTGTCCTACCCTACTGCTCGCTGAAGTACAAAGCCCTTCTCCACCAATCAAAAAATGTGTAGTGCTGGATGTCTCTTGGAGGCAACTTAACACATCCCTCGCTACTTTCCTCCTCCTCTGATGTTTCTTTCTCTCTCTCTCTCTCTCTCTCTCTCTCTCTCTCTCTCTCTCTCTCTCTCTCTCTCTCTCNTCTCTCTCTCTCTCTCTCTCTCTCTCTCTCTCTCTCTCTCTCTCTCTCTCTCTCTCTCTCTCTCTCTCTCTCTCTCTCTCTCTCTCTCCCTGCTTACATCCACCCAAGCTCAAAAGTCATGGACTTCCACTGTTCTCCCAAAGTGCACACCTATAAAATTCCATCAAAGAGAAAACAATTCCTCCCATGCACTACAGCAACCATTGGATTCAAGAAAAGAGACAAAAAGCAAGTAAGAAATTGAGAAAACACCTCCACAAGCACTCCCGTGCTCACCCAGAAAGAAAACAAAAACATGAAATTGCCGGTCTTCAGTTATCTATTGCAAGAAAATTGAGCAATAGCGAACTTCAGAAATCAAACAGCATCATACACATGAGACCAGATCGTCGTGACCTCGAACCAAGAGCAGAATTGCATCACCAGTTTCACCAAATAAGAGCACAGCAAAAGCTCATAATTTAAAATGCTGGAATAGTCTCATCATGATCAACGAAGAACCAATGTCAATATCCAATCTGGTGCTCGGCGCCCAGACTACAGATGGCAGATCCTATCTAGCCTAATCTACAATGCCGCCGATGACATCAACAGCTCCCCAAAGTACGAGCAGATCTCGGCCAATGTCGTACGCTTCAAGCACCAGGTATGTCTCTCCTATCACTCACAGCCTCGTTCCCCAACTCACAGATGCCACATACACCCAAGGACCACCATGCGCCCCATCTAGCATACAGCAGCGCAGCTCGGCTATGGCTGCCTGCTCCTCCCAGCTCGCCCGTGAGCACGTGAGCGCTGGCCAGCGTTAGCGCAGCAGCGCTTGCGCAGCATGCAGCCAGTGCCCCAATGTCGAATGCGTGTGCAGGCCCTTTCCAAAATGGAAGTGGCCTGCCTGCCTTGCGTGCAGCCTGGCTGCGCTGGGCCCCTGCCCAGAAGCTTCCAGTAGGCCCAGAGAGGCTGAGCCCCAGACCAAACGGATCAGGCCCAAGGCCTGTGACAGTTACCCGTGCCCAACTGCCCGCAGCCTGAGTTGGGTCCATGCTGCGTATCTCGGCCAGGGCCTGACTCAGATGCATTTGATAAATAGGCCAGGGTCTGGGCGCTTTCAACCAACTGGCGCTGCGCAACTGCCTGAATTTTCCCCCAGTTGCGAAGTAGTCCGAAATAGGCCTCTTGTCGTCTGCCGAGCCTGCCTTCACTTAGGGCGGCCAACACTCTTGCAAATAGGGGCCCAGTAGGCCTTGTGCCTCGCATGCCCTCCTCCATACTTTGCTAGTCCTCTGAGAAATTTAGTCAATCTGGCGCTTTCCTTTCTGCAGTAAGGCGACAACCTGTTGTTACAAGCTGCGCCTGCAACAGGCTGCACGGGCCATTTTCAGGCCCGTGTCGTTTTCAGCCCGAAAGCCTGAAAACAAGGGCCTCCAGGCCCTGTGTCGTTTCAGCGTAAAACAGGGCCTTCCCAGCCCTGAGTCTTTTCAGCCTGAAACGGAGGGCCATTTTCAGGCCCTCATAAGATCGACCTGCCCTGAAACTCAGGCACCGGACCAGGGTATTAGCTCAGGCCATTTTTGGCCTATTTTCAAGACAACCTTTGTTTAAGCTTCAACCCCAGGGTCTGGCATGTTTTGGCATTGGCAAGAGCAGCCTCCTGGACGGGCCAGCACTATATAAGACTGGCCCGCCCTGCAGGCTGCAGGTAGTTCATAGGGACTTCCCAGGCACTTCACGTGCAGTTCAGGAGGCAGGAGGTAGTCTTCAGGATTCGGCAGCAGCAGCACTCTGGAGGAGCGCTGCAGTAGTAGTAGTAGCGCTAGCAGTAGTCTTCAGCGCTGGGCGCTAGTAGCGTTAACAGTAGTCTTCAGCGCTGGGCGCCATTCAGAGCTAGAGTAGTACTAGATAGAGAGAGAGAGAGATTGGGCGAAGGCCAGGGAGACTTACCTGCAGCGCCATAGCTCCAGCTTCGCCTTCGAGGTACCTGCAGCACGGCGCCATCTTCACAGGTTAGTACCTGTCACATGAGAGAGAGAGAGAGAGTTCTTCTTCTTCTTCTTCTCATTCCACCATCTCCCTCTCACCCTCTCGCTATCTGACTTCACTGCATCAGCAGACTATGAGAGAGCGGGCTTGGTGACATTCGGATCCAGACTCGACATTGGACTTCAGACATTTGACGAGGGGTTATCTGGGACTTGTAACGAAGATTTGGTGTTGACGACCCATCTTCCCCCCTTCTCCTCCATCTGATCCCCTCCTCTTCGTCTGTGTATGGTCTGGACCTGGCGCATTCTTCGTGTGTGTAGTCCCCTTCACACCTTCTGATGAGGATGATGTATGTTTTGTCTGTATGGCGACATTGATTGGGCTAGTCATTGGTATTCTACCATTCTGCAACGCTGCCTTGCACTACGTGAGAGAGGTCAGTCCCGATCAGGTCAGGGCTTACATCTAAGTCTTCCGCTGCGCCACAAGGCGCCATTTTGTATGTATCAGGATGTACATTGCTTGTTGAGATTCCACTTGCACTGCATTTTCCATTCAGTCCTTTTTACCACATTGCAGATCCTTGGCTATTTACATACATCGCCCAACTGGGCATGTAACACTGTGGAGCGGTCTGCATCAGTTCGTCCCGTGTAAACCATCTATCCTCCTTAGGATCAGTGTGATGTCTGAACCGAGCGCGATACTGCAGCTTCGGTTTCGGAGGACGTTCCCTGTCGGTAGGTCTTGGAACTGGCATTTCTCTGTGATCCACGATGTCATCGATGTCGACTTCTCCGTCCATGGTTGGGGGCAGCATTGAACGACGAGAGGGAAACCGGTCAGTTTCCTTGAAAGGTGCGAGCTTGGAGGCATGGAATACAGGGTAAGTGCGTAGGTGACCAGGGATGTGAACTACATATGACGGCCCATCCGGATCTTGTCCGAGAATATCCCAAATCTCCCATGGTCCAAAGTATTGTGGCATGAGCTTGCGGGAGATCCCGTGCTCCTGTCCCAGTTCTGAGGACTTTACCCAGACTCTGTCCCCTACCTGAAATGTAGATGGGCGGCGGTGTTTGTTCTCAGACTCTATCATTGCCGCTTGCGCCTTGTGCATTTGCTCCACTGCCTGCTGCATCAGTTGTTCATATCGATAGGCAAATTCGAATGTGCCTGGTGCATCAGTTAACTGGTTCTCAAGTAGTAGAAAGCCTAGACGCAATCTAGGCTTGAAAGTCAGTAGCAGACTGTTAGGGCTCACCCCAGTGGCGTTGTGCACAGCGTTGTTGTACAGACTGGCAATGAGAGCGAGTTTCTCATCACAGTCCACCTGATTGGGCTTGATGTAGTGCCGCAACAAGTGTTGTACAGCGCGGTTCAGTTGCTTTGCTTGGCCGTTTGCCTCTGGGTGGTTCCCGGAGGTCATCTGCAGCTGTGTACCCTGTTCTGCAGCTGCAGCCTTCCACAACTCACTTGTGAATCTGACATCCCTGTCACTAACAATAGACTTTGGGAGCCCAAAGTCTCTGACCCAGTTCTCCTTGAAGAGTTTAATCACATACTCGGTCTTTGCTGTCTCCGGCATTGCAACTAACCTAGCGTACTTACTAAACCTATCCACGATAACAAAGATGTGTCTCATCCCACTCTTGCTGCGGCGTGTCCATGAAGTCCATGGACAGGCTCTCGCCAGGCCTTTCCGGAATCGGAAGGGGCTTGAGAAGCCCAAGAGGGGCCTGTGTAAGGGGCTTGTCTCTTTGACAGACCTGACAAGTTTCCACGTACAGCTTGGCATCTCTCATCATCGTGGGACACCAGAACTGCTGCAGCAGATTGGCTGCAGTCTTCTTATATCCAAAATGTCCTGTGGCGTAATGACACTCTCCTAAAAATAAACTACGCAAAGACTCCCAACTAGGCACACACAAACGTTTATTCCTGGCCTTCTCAAGGAACAGCAAGCCGTTGACCAACTCAAACTCGGCAGAAGTCACTTTGTCCTTCGCTTTGAGTCTGCGAATGATCTCAGACATAAACGGATCCTCGCGATAGGCTTCCACCAAAGAGCGAGTTACGTCGTCCGCAAGCCCGAACTTTGTAATCAGCGCACCAGAGAAATCAGGCCTACGTGATAAGGCATCAACAACTTTATTGTACTCCCCCTTCAGATACTGGGGTTCGAAGTCATACTGTTCAATGACTTCGATCCAGCGCTTCAAGGCGTTAGAAAGTATTGGCTGGGTTCTCATCCACTTCAGGGTCTGATGATCAATCATGACGATGAAGAACCTCCCAAGGAGGTGATGTCTCCAATGGGCCAGTGCCTTATAAATCGCGTAGAGCTCTTTCTCATAAGTGGACTTAGCCAACTTCTAAGACGGCATCTTTTTGGACATGTACTCGACTAGCCTCAACTTTGGCCCCTCCTGCTACGCGGGCACGGCACCAATGCCATATTGGCTGGCATCCATGGTTACTATGAACGGCCTGTCAGGATCAGGAAGTTTTAAGACCTCACGGTGTGTCAACGCATGCTTCAGATATCTGAAAGCAGCCTCACACCTGTTTGTCCACTCCCACAAGGTGTCAAGGCGAGTCAGGTTAGTCAAAGGTGCGGCCACTATACTATAGTTTTTAACAAAGTTACGGTAGTAGCCGGTCATCCCTAAGAAAGACCTCATCTCAGTCACCGACTGAGGACGCGGCCAGTCATGAATGCTGGCCACCTTCGCGTCATCGGGCTTCAAAGCCTCCGCGGAAATCTCATGACCCAAGTACAAGATCCAAGTGCGACCAAACTCGCAATGCTCCCCGTTGATCTTGAACTTGTGTTGTCGAAGGAGACCGAGGACTTTCTCTAAGTGCGCAACATGCTCCTCAACAATCCTACTAAAAATAAGTATGTCATCAAGGTACACGATGACAAACTTATCCTACTAGTCATGAAAGATCCGATTCATAGCGTGCTGAAAGGTGCTAGGAGCATTGTAGAGGCCGAAAGGGATCACCACAATCTCGTATAGACCGTACCTGGTCTAAAATGCGGTTTTGTGTTGATCCTCGGGCCGGATTGCAATCTGAGGGTATCCGGACTTCAGATCTATCTTACTGAAGTACCGCACCCTTGCACTTTATCTAGCAAGTCATCAATGCAGGTAGGGGCTCTCGATTCTTGACAGTGATGTCATTGAGGCCCCTATAGTCAATGCACATCCCCCTTTTTTGGTACAAATAGGACTGGAGATCCATAAAGGGAAACACTCGGTCGGGTCCAACCCTTCTCTACGAGTTCCTTGAGTTGTCGACGAAGCTCATCAAGCTCACCTGGAAACATCCGATAGATCCTACCCTTCGGGAAGCTAGACCCTGGGATAATCTCTATTGCGTGGACGACCTCCCTCTCCACAACCCCTTTCGGCTCTTTAAATAGATCAGGGTATTTAGCAACTACTCCCTCTATCTCCCGCAGCATTTTTACCGGCTCGCCAACTGCAGAAACATATACTAGATACATACCCTCCTCTGGATTCTGCTTGTAATAATTGTAGAACGCGGTCACACACATACATCCGTAGGACTCGATCAGACTACTAGCCTTAAACTTTCGGAACGAGATGCGATGTCTCAATTCCCGTCCCTCGTACGGGAAACAACACTCAACGTTCTGTAGGTAGTCATGGACTACCATGCGCTGTCTGTTGGCACAGGTCGACTCCACAAGTCGACTCAGGCGCTGCACTTGCCCCTGTAAGCGCAACCTCTCAACGCACGTGCGACTAATGAAGTTCCTAGTCAAGCAAGTGTCATAATAGGCCCCGGCCTTACGGCCGTCGATGACTGCCTCGCCGACGAACGTCTCACTCCTGATGTTTTTTGCCAATGTCGTCCAAGAAGCTAGCGGGTCTGATTTGGACCAGTCCTCCTCTAGCTCCTCTAAGGACTCGAACACATTCATCGAACAAAGGCTCGATGGGTCTGAATGTGTTTGCGGGACGACGATGGAGTCAGTAGCTTAGGCCATCTCTCGAGATGGTGAGGGTGTATCCACCACCTCGACCCCAGCAGGAACAACTACTATTCCTACTGGCTCGACGCGTTTCCCGGAGCAGTGCCAGAACTGCTAGCCACATTGCTACCAACGGGAGCGGAGGATCCCAACGCCTGCCCATTGTAGGCGGGATCTTCTAGGTCACCTCCTTATTGCGGCACTTGAATTGGTTGTGGCCATATTGACCACAACGAATACAGGCGTGCCTGGTGTACCTGTCTCTCCACACGTCCTCTGTTAGACCCGCTTTTTCCCATGGAGGAGCATTGGGGTCAACTTGACTCCTAGAGAGAGAAGTTTAACGGAGACCCTAATTTTCAGACCACTTGGCATGCCATTTATATGAAAACCAAAGGCTGATTTTAATCAAACTTGCCACCAATTCGTAGAGCGGAGACCATATTAACTAACTGCAAAAAAAAATCCAAAAAAAAAAAAAAAAAGCATATAAAACAAGAAGGCAAAAGTGCATTTTCATGAAATTTCGCCAACATCTCAATTTCAAAAATCTTGAGAAATTTCAGAAATCTCAACAGAGGAAATTCCAATTCTCCAAATGACACAAAATTGGGCACACACCAACCTTGAACCAAAACAAGAATAGGCACCAAAAAAAAAAAAAAAAAACATAAAATTTGACCCCGAAACCCTAATTTCAGTTTTGGACTCCTTACCAAGGACCTAAAAATGGGGGTCCCCGTTAACCGTTTGTGCTCCTAGACCGATAACCTCCATGGCGTTTACCGGTCGCCTTACCTTTCTGAACTGCGGCAGCGACTACTCCACCCCCTGAAGCCCCTACGTTGCATGCCTCTGAACCCACTCCCGCCTGGAAGTCGTCATCCAACTCGATGGTAGAACCGCCGTTGTCGACGAACATAATGCGGCCCTTCGCCTTCCAGTTGGGAGGCATTGACTTTTTCCTACCATCCGTCGTGGGTGTTTGTCCATGCCCTATGTGCATGTTGACATTGGCCTCACCTGCCAACTGATTCTTGTGAGGCATAGGAAAGCATCTCAGGTAGGAGGTGAGTAAAACCTTGGGATCATTGCACACCCCAGGGACACAAATCATACGCTCTACTGCATTTGTGGCCTCTCTTACTGACTTAAAGTGCCTGTTATGCAGAGTCAGGATCGCGTCAGTGGCCTTTTGAGCCTGCTGAGGATCATGCCACCTTCTTCCACCAACCTAAGGAAGTCATCCAACTTCTGGTTGACTGCCTAAGCGTGAAAGTCATGACCGTATCCATGCAACTGCACTAAACCACTCAACCATCTTGCTGCACTCCCCTCTAAATAGGAGGCAGCCACAAGCACTTCCTCGTGTTTACACTTAACGTAGACTGGCACTGACCTTAACCATGTGTCAGTGTCTTAGCCCCTCTTGTCCTCTGTGAAGGGTTTAGGAGTGGCGATGGCCATCTTTGGAACCCACTGACTTTGTCCCAGCACCAGTCCCACTCCAGGCTGTGGACCTTGGGGACCAGGCTGCTGCACTATCTGTTGCTGGGGCTGTGTACCCTGCGGCTGTGCAGGCTGCGAGACAGCAGGCTGCCCGCTTACGGCAACCTGCGACGGAGGTTGGGAGAACACTGTCTGTACAGGAACCTGTACACTAGGACCTGCTGAGAACCCTCTGGTCCTAAGGCCAAGCGGGCTATCGGGCGTCTAGCCAATCGCAAGATCCGGTCGTCCTCACTAGTGGAATCCCTATCGCTCATATGCTACAAAACTATACACGCTCTGCACTAGGTCACTCTTAGATGCCTACCACAGCATAGTACACAGACTGATTTAAAGTGATTAAATACTTAATCGGTGGCTAAGTCAAAGGATATACATTTGGGTCCAACAGGTAAGTTCAGGCTCCTACAAACAAACTACTTTGACTTTGACTAGTTCGCAAACACAAAGCACAATGAACAGAGAACAGTTCTAAACTATGTTGTTTGTCAGATGTTAATGGTTGTACATCTAACTAATCAAGATAAAAATAGAATCATTTGTTGGGTTTGTTTGCATAATGGAATTTTGCCCAAACTTATCACCTGGAATCTACCCCTCCCTCAGTTTTTCCTGAATGTCTCTTGTCGTCAACGTCCCTAACAGTCCAAAACATCATGCGTGTCTAAAGGTGTGCACATGCCCACCCCTGTGCCCCGAGTCCCGCTGAGCCGGCCAGCCCTGCACAATGTTTATATCCTCGCGTGCAGCGAGCCTAACATCGACCGATTGGCTGATCAGGAGGTGTTTTTATGGACGGCCCCCGAAGTCCCCATGAATTATTTAACGTCGCAAACAGGACGACGATCACGACCAATGGAGGGTCCCCGCCGATACTTATTTATAGACGTCCAGTCTCGTCTTTCCCATAGGGCTGGCCTGCCCCTCAGAACCCCTCTATAGCGCAGTGAGCAGACAAAGGACAAAGCAACAAAGCATGTGTGCTCTATTCCCGGTGGGTTGGCATGGTGACCGTGACCCAATGCTTTGTCCAGGGCCCTTCAGATAGCACCGCCCTCTCCTTCCAAATGCTCCACGTGAAGACTGACGACTCTAAAGGTTGACTGCACACGACTCCTCACATGAGAGGACTTTCAAGACAGAATACACATCCTCACGGTAAGAAGTGTCGAAGAGGGTAGATAATGTTAGGTGCAACGTACCTCAAAATAGTTGCCCCCAACCACAAATATTCTCACCAGATGACCCGATGTTCATTGTGATGACCAATCGCTGCTTCCACACAACCAGCATTGCACCACCGTTCCACATCAGCATCAATCACACATCAGATAGTTCTCATCACACTGCGAACACCCAATAATCACCACACAGTAGCCTTCTTGGCGATACCCTCACCTCCTGGGTCGCCTCACTTGTCTCCACCCTCCTCACTACACACCTCCCACAGCCGCTCGCCCAGCAGACCGCGTGCATGTACCGCAAAGGCAGAAGACAAGCGCTCGATGAGCGCACCGTACCACAACTCCGATACGAAATTGCAAGGAAATTCAGTGATAGCGAACTTCATAAATCAAACAGGATCATACACATGAGACCAGATAGTCGTGACCTCGATTGACAATGCATCACGAGTTTCACCAAATAAGAGCACAACAAAAGCTCATAATTGACAATGCTGGAATAGTCTTATCATCATCAACGAAGAACCAATGTCGATATCGTATCAAGCGCTCGGCGCCCAGACTACAGATGGCAGATCCTATCAAGCCTAATCTACAATGTCCCTGATAACGTCAACAACTCCCCGAAGTACGAGCAGATCTCGGCCAATGCCGTACGCTTCAAGCACCAGGTGTGTCTCTCGTATCACTCACAAACTCGTTCCCCAACTCACAGATGCCACATGCACCCAAGGACCACCATGCGCCCCATTTGGCATACAGCAGCGCAGCTCAGTTATGGCTGCCTGCTCCCCCCAACTCGCCTGTGAGCGTGTGAGCGCTAACAGCGTTAGCGCAGCAGCGATTGCGTAGCATGCAGCCAGTGCCCCAATGCCGAATGCGTGTGCAGGCCCTTTCCTAAATGGAAGTGGCCTGCCTGCCTTGCGTGCAGCCTGGCTGCGCTGGGCCCCTGCCCAGAAGCTTCCAGTGGGCCCAGAGAGGCTGAGCCCCAGTCCAAACGGATCAGGCCCAAGGCCTATGACAGTGACCCATGCCCAACTGCCCGCGGCCTGAGTTGGGTCCATGTTGCGTATCTCGCCCAAGGCCTGACTCAGATGCATTTGATAAAGGAGGCCAGGGCCTGGGCGCTTTCAACCAACTGGCGTTGCGCAACTGCCTGAATTTTCCCCCAGTTGCGAAGTAGTCCAAAATAGGCCTCTTGTCGTCTGTTGAGCCTGCCTTCACTTAGGGAGGCCGACACTGTTGCAAATAGGGGCCCAGTAGGGCTTATCGAGGCCTTGTGCCTCGCACTATGGCCAATATCTCTTGATCATTGCAACTGGAACCTCACCCCCATGCTTCAGAACACAAGAAATGCCAAAACAAACAAACGAGCCTCCGACAATCTCTCTTAATCCAGGCAAGGCGGACCTTGCACCCTCACTTCAAAACACACAAAACCCCAGATCGCGCAATGGCAGCAATCGTCAAGAGTCCTCACTCTTCCCTGTCAAGTCTCGTCCTCAATCTCTCATTTGACTGTGTGTCTCTTGTTCCTTGAGCTTACAGGATTGCGCAATGGCAGCACTCTGAAGGCAACCTAGTAGACATGAACTCTACGGGTCTGTACCCATTGCCACCATCTTGCTGTAACACGGCACCAATGCCAGAAATCACGTTCGTGTTGCCTTCCAAGCCTTGAAGGAAAAAGCGGTCAGTTTCGCTAGGTCGCTTGCACTCGCTGCTAAATGTGACAATGACATGGTCAGATACTCCTCCATTCCTAACTTGAGTGAGTTTTTGTCCGCTGTCCACGAACGCTTTGCAAACGTCACTAAGGGCATTAGGGCGTCTGACAAACTTCAAACGATCCACACGCCACACTGGAGGAGTGCACGTGCGTTCAAAGCTGCTATGGATGAGCTTGTCGCTCTCCCTGGACATGGAGTCACTGAGACTCAACTTGCCCAACTCTTCTATCGCGCCATGCCCGAGAATTTGCACGGCCGCTTCTTCACCACAAAGCCACAACCTGACATGACATACGACACATAATGTCGCGAGGTTGTTGCTTTTGAGGCCCAGTCCGCGCCAATAACCAATTTCTGGCACAAGGACCTTGCAAGGGCAAAAAGTGAAAGAGTCATACCATCACGAACCAAGTTATGGCCAAGGATAGTCTTATACTTACTCTAGAAGAGGGTGGTCTGGAAAAGGTCACTTATAGAGAGATAGAGTGGGGCATGGACGAGTCAGACAGTAGTGCAGGTAAGAGGAGTACCTACGTTGTTGTCGCGGTCGGAGGGAGGTCGCAAGGAGGTGGAAGAGGTCAAGGCCGAGGAGGCCAGGCCTCTGGTGGTCGAGGACAGGGCGGCCAAGGGGTTGGCGGTAGAGGAAACCGCCAAGCGGGAGGCAGGGGTGAAGGTCCCCCGTCAAACCGTCCTCGTGTTGAGCGATCACCTCCCAGAGGGGGTGGTTGGCACCCTAGTCGGCCTAAGAAGCGGCCCTGGGAGACTTTGGCCATCGAGAGCGAGGATTGGCAGTACGGGATAAACAAACTTCAATGCGTGTTCTGCGGTGACACTGGGCACATCATCAAATTTTGCCTGAGGTACATGGGTGCCCGAAGAGCTGTTGCAGAGTCAGCAACAGGCCACCACTGGTAGGGGTAGCAACTGCCCTTACCTCTAGACTATGTGGAGATGAGTGCACGCGCCAAATAGAAACTCCCATTCCACATATGTCTACGACAGAGGTTGCTGGCCAACATCTAGTTAGTTGTCCAGAGACTGTTTTTGTTAGAGTCTCCCTAGGCACTTCCCTCACAGGCCTGGCAGAAGAATTGAAGGAGACAATGTCGGCCTGGGCCAAGATGAAGAAAGAAGGTAAGGGGCGGCGATTGATAGCAGATGTAGAGATTTTTAGAGGTAGAGTAGGGGCCCTTAAAGACAATGGAGCCACGTGTAGCTATATTAGCCGCAAAGCGTTGAAGGAGTTAAAGCTTAGCCTAAAAGTCCAAAAGTTAGAAGAGCATGTAGTCAGTATCCTGGCTGACAACCACACAATGCATATCAATAGCTATATTAGCCGCAAAGCGTTGAAGAAGTTAAAGCTTAGCCTAAAAGTCCAAAAGTTAGAAGAGCATGTAGTCAATATCCTGGTTGACAACCACACAATGCGGATCAAGGATTATGTCGAGGGAGTCCATGCATATTTTCACCTAGAGGCAGATGGGAAGGTAGAGAGAGTTCTCCATTCCCTAACTCTCCTCGTCAAAAATGATCTCCCTTTGATATGGTGTTAGGAATGGTTTAGGGAGAGGCAGCAGGAGCCACAATGCACTTGCGGCAGCATGAGTGTACGCTTCCTAGTCCTTCAGGTTGCATCAAGAAGGCCCGCCTGTTCCATGTGTCAGGAGTGGATAACTCCCTGGCATATTGTTGTCTAAGCGCTCCTGCGTTTGTGTGATTAGTTAGAAAGGAGCAGCTAAAATAACAGGTTTTTGTAGCCTATGTTAGGACAGTTACTGAGCCTAAGACAGAGGAACCAACCAACCCCATTATTGCCAAGTTGCTGGACGAGTACAGAGATTTGTCAGAGGCTCCTTCAGTAGTACCACGTCCCATCCAACATTGCATTGAGATAGAACCTGGCAGTAAAACTCCCAAAGGAGCAGTTTGTAGAATGTCTCCTAAAGTAGTTGCGCAAGCAGTTAGACGAGCTCCTCGAGAAGGGTTGGGTTAAGCCCAGTTCGTCTCCATTTGGAACACCTGTTCTATTTGTCCCCCAGAAAGAGGGAGAGTTAAAAATGTGAATTGACTACACGGGTCTGAACGCTATTACAGTCAAGAATGCAAAACCACTGCCCCAAATAGATGATATGCTTGACCGGGTGCAGGGCTGCAAGTACTTTACAAAGATAGATTTAAAGCCAAGGTACCATCAGATTGAAGTCCACCCTGATGATCAGTACAAGACTGTATTCAGGACTAGGTATGAGCATTATGAGTTTATAGTCATGCCCTTTGGACTAACGAACGCACCGGCCACATTCCAAAGTTGTATGAACGATTTGTTTAGGCCGTGGTTAGACAGATTTGTAGTGGTTTATTTAGACGATATCCCTATCTTTAGTAAGACCCTCCAGGAGGATGAGGCTCATCTGAGGCAGATCTTGGAGAAGTTGCGCGAGGCAAACTTCAAGATCAATGCGAAGAAGTGTGAGTGGGCCAAGACCGAAATCCTATACTTGGGCCACGTCTTATATGGAGATGGTATAAAACCTGAGGACAGCAAGATCGCAATGATTAGAGACTAGCCAACTCCTCACACGCTGACAGAACTGTGATCGTTCCTAGGATTGGCCAATTACTATAGAAAGTTAGAAAGAAGCACTTCGCAGATTGCTAAAGAAAGAAGCAATCTGGAAGTGGGACCAAGACTGCACCTCGTCCATGAAGAAGTTAAAACGAGCCTTGGTAGAGCACCCAGTCCTCAAGGTAGCTGATCCATCCTTACCCTTTGTCGTCATTACAAAGGCGAGTTAGTATGGCATTGGTGTTGTGTTACAGCAAGATGATGGCAATGGGTACAGACCCGTAGAGTTCATGTCTGTTAGGTTGCCTTCAGAGAAGGTAGCAACTTCAACTTACGAAAGAGAACTCTATGCTCTGAGGCAAGCACTAGATCACTGGAGGCATGACTTGCATGGGAGGCACTTCAAAGTTTATTTAGACTGCGAGACACTCAGGTGGCTGAAAACGCAAGCCAAGATGACACCTAAGCTTACTAGGTGGTTTGCAGAGATAGATCAATTTGACTTTGAGCTCAAACCAGTTAAAGGAAAGTATAACGTGGTAGTCGACGCTTTAAGTAGGAGAGCCGACTACTTTGGAGCAGAGAGTGAACCTAACTATCGCACCACGAACGGGTTACTCTTTGAGAAGACGGACGTTGTAGATAAACTATGCATTCCCGCCGTGAAGAGATCCGGAGTCTGATCTTAGGGGAATGTCATGATACAATAGGACACTTCAATGGCAGAAGACATTAGCCAACCTGACGCGTGCCTACACATGACCTGGCATGAAAGTTGATTGCATAGGGTACGTGCGCAATTGTAAAGTATGTCAGCGCAACAAAACTACGACGTGGGCTCCATTGGGTCTTCTCAGACCGTTGCCTGACCCGGAGAGTCTGTGTCCATCGATTTTGTGGATGTTGGGGTCAGGAGTAGGAATGGCAAAAGCCAAGTCATGGTCATAGTCGACCGCTTTAGCAAGTATGCAGTTTTTGTTCCTTTTCCTTACGAGGCACGTACAGAGTTAGTTATAGAGTTCTTTGATTCCTGGGTAAGTGAACATGGTATTCCGTTATCCATAGTTAGTGATAGGGATACACGGTTTACTAGTCAACACAAGCAGGAGCTTATGCGAGTCTATGGCTCAAAGTTATTGATGTCATCCGACCGTCATGCAGAGACTAACGACCAGACTGGGCAGATGAATAAGATCTTGCAGCAAATACTCTGCATGTGTATTAAGACCAGATCAGATTAACTGGGATGAGATGCTTCCTAAAGTAGCTAGCGCCTACAATAACAATGTTCATGTAGCTACTTGCCAGACTCCTAACAAGTTGCACAAGTCCTTTAGACCATGCAAGTCGTTTGAAGGACTGAATTGTGACCAAACACAAAGACTACCACCCGGAACTAGAGAGCTACTTGCCAAACTCCTAATGAGTTGCACAAGTCCTTCAGACCATGCAGGTCGTTAGGAGGACTGAATTGTGACCAAACACAAAAATTGCCACCCTCAACTAGAGAGTTTGCCTTACAGCATGAGAAGGAAATTGCAAGGGTGACCGACAATCTTAGGAAAGCTCAACACAAAATGATAGAGCAAGCTAACAAGCATCGTCGGCCACCATAGTTCCAGGTAGGTGACTTAGTCTGGGTCAAGTCTAAGTAGTTTGTCCCAGAAGAGAACATCTCACAAAAGTTGTTACCGGCTTACAGGGGATCGTGGCCTGTCCTAGAAGTGAAAGGTGGAGAGGACGAACCTTCTTACACAGTAGAAATTCCACCACACCTCCACACATACCCAGTCTTCCATGCGTCCAAGTTACTGCCTTGTGTCACCAGTCAGCAATTTCCATCGCATCGATCAATGATTCCGTCGGATATGAATGGCACATACGATATAGATCGCGTTGTGGAAGAGGACGTGTTCAGAACCGGAGGTAAAGGTCGTCCACAAAAGCAGTATAAAGTCAGGTTCGCTTATCAGGGACCAAAGGACGACCTATGGTTCACAAGAACTGAACTTTTAGAGACTGCTCCTAACATAGTCCATGCCTATAACAGAGAAAGGAAAGGTAAAGGTCCCATCTTGCACTAAAGTATTCTCGGAGGACCTCGAATTTAGGTCGGCAGGAGTGAAACAATTTTCACCTATTACGGTGACAGGTGCAGTACCTAGGGCTCGATCCCTAGACCTCCCCTTTACCCATGTACTGTACCCGTTCACCCGTGTTTTTGAACTCGCAACCTGTTTCCTGAAAGTTGTACGTTCAGCTGTTGTAAATAGTACAGCTGCCAGGGTTTGATCCGTAGGTCTGAGTTTTAGTTGTCATAGGGTCAAAATAGAATGTAGCCGCTGTTGGTCCGAAAGGTCAAGGTCTGGAGTCTAGGCTAGTCTCCTTGACCCTTCGTAGGTCCTAGGAGTCAGTCCACGACTGAGTCAACGAGGGGCAGTCCTAGCACAGTCCGCAAAGGGCAGTCCCAGTCCTACCTTGTCGAATCAACGGTACCCAGTCCCAGGTTGCACTTTGTCCAATCAGCAAGTACCATGTGGGACTGTGCACACCCCGGGCCCAAGGTCCAAGGGCAGACCATCGACGATCCAAAGTATAAACAAAGAGGAAGCGTCAAGTCATTCATTCATTCTGCCTGTGAGCCGTGCGGAAGCGCTGTCGGAGAGTCTTGTGCCACGGAGGTCTGCAGGAAACCGAAGTAGAACAGGGCTATGG